CCTATGTGTGTTTAACACAGATGACCAAAAAAGGGAGTGAAAAAAAGAGAGATTTGTTCATCTTGAAAGAATAGCCAATGAGCTCTTTAGTCTTGTGTAAACTAAGACCAAGAAAAGCTTATTTTACTGCCATTAATTGATGCAATAGCCTATTAAAAGCCTTATATATAGTAAAAATCACTGCAATTCATGGCCAGGGTTCAATAATGTTCATTAAATATTTTTTTTTTAAGTTTTTATTTTCGATTTTGAAAGAAGCATTTCATTCCTAAATAAATTAGTAGGCTATCAACATCAGGCAATTGACAACATCAAAACAGAAGCACTGCCTTCTGACCGTAGATTTGATAAACAATCTAAAACTGAAAGTTTTAACACAAAGTTAGGCAAAAAAAAAAAAAATACTAATCTATCTGAGACTGCTTTCATTTTACAGATGTGCTTCTCAAACTAAGCCAACATGAGAATTGGAAACAACTGAGAAATTAACTTGTAATATTTGTCTTTGGCTTGTACCTGTCGCCCTGAGAACGGATCTCACAAACCGCGGGAAAATTAACTGTTCTGTTTTAACATGGGCTGTGTCCGAAATCTCCCACTACTCACTATATAGTGGACTACATAGTGAGCTCGCCATTTTGTAGTGCTGTCTGAATGTATGATGATTATTATACCCTACATGGTCCACTCAATGTATCCCAGAATGCATTTTGAAAAGTAGTGTACAACCGATGGTCACTAACCCAAGCCCTACATACCATCATGCATTGCACTGATCGTAAAAACGGCGGATGGGCGACAGCAATGACGTAATCAACGGCGCTGAGAGACGTCCGAGTACTGTCCGAAAGTGGTGTTTGAGCCCGTTTACACAAAGCCGGGTATTTAGAGAAACGAATATTTTCCCCCTCTCCGTTTTCAATAATAACATCGTGCGCACACCCGCCGTCAATCGCCATCATATCTATGCCAAACCTATGGCCGGCAGTGTAGGGAGAAGGATAAAGCCATGCAAGCCAATCAGAATCCTCAGAATCGACAAGAGAGAAACTAAAACACCGTTTCTCCCAGCTGACACGACAACACATAACGATTTCAGAGATCTCCACTTTGGCCGGAGTTTTTAGAAATAATCGTTTTCTGTGATAAAAATGGGGTTTTCATGTAAATGAGAGGCCAAACCACAGGGAAATATCTGCGTTTTCCCTTCGTGTAAACGGGGCCTCATATATGATATATATGAGACATACAGGTAAGTTGAGTTATGAGAGACTTAAACAAATTAAAATAAACAAAAACATTTTTGAGAAGGGCGCAATATTTGAAACATCAAAGTTGTGGAGCTGTGAAAGAGACGTTTGCTTACATATTTTTATGAGAATTAGTCACCAACCAAAATGTCAGATGAGAGGATATGGAAGTAAGTTATCTTTTGGAAGAATTAGACTAAGGAAGAGAAAAGGTTGTGCTAAAAACAGTCATGATTTCTGTAGCCTACTCCCCGCAGGAAGGGGCGGAGCCTGACACAGGAAACAGGATCTTCACTTAGAACTTACACATAGAACTCTATGCTGATTCAGGATATAAGTTTGCTAAATTTGTTGTATTGTTCGGTTTATCCAAACTACTCCATCATGATTGTGATGGAGAAAAGGAGAGAGGAAAGAAAACTGAATGAAGAGTGAACAAGGTCATGGGCATCTAAATTAGTTCAAGTGGACACTCAAAATTCTGCTCACAAGTCAAAAAGAAACAAAGACATTCTTCTATATCCAGCATTTAAAGACAACTCTGCAAGTTTTGACATCACAATTTACACATTAATAAACAAAATTCGCTCTCTCAATGGCCAAAGGCGTCCTGTATTTTTCCTGTTGTTTCATTCTCAATTCAAGAAGAGAATATAGGCTCAGATAAATCAGACCCATATCCAGTTCTAAGGCAATTAGACTGAGGAATCAGAGGGCCGTGTCAAGTTTATGCATTTTGACTGATCGGATTGCTCTCCAGTTGGGTATTAGCATATCTATACTATTAACTTCACTTCTATGATGTGTCCGCCCACTTTAAAGCAGCCTTGGTTTCGGAAGTATTTTTCCCATTCATTTTTCCCATAGGTATTGCAAAAAAAGTACTTAAGAGTTATAAGTAAACCAAATCAACCAGCTATGAAGTGAATCAAAACATTACCAACGTTTTCAAGACTGGCTGTGACATATAACGAGGCAATCTCATGAAACATTGTGAACAACATAATCAAAAATAAAAACAATGGATAAATATAAAACTATTGATTGAAATATGTTAACTATGGTTACACTTATTTTTGTACACTTATATTGCACTCAAGCCCCAAGTACTGAGTGATATTAATTACTGAGTTACAGTTAAGGTTCGATTTAGTTACTTGTTACTTGTAATTATGCATAAATTACTGTTATTACTATAGTAAATATACATTTAGCAACGTGTAACTATGTCACCCTAAAATAAAGTGTTACCAAAGTGTTACTTTTGGCTTGTTTCTGTTAAGGAAATTATTTTGCAGAACTATGGGTAATGCAGTTTTTCACCATGAGTTATTAAACGTGCTTCTTTTATGCTGGCTAATGGCTTCAACAAAAGCATATAGCATTGGTTAAAAACGTTGTAGCTCACAATACTGTAGGTCTATCTTTAAAGGTTTGTAAGTTATCATTAAAAAATAAATTCCTCTATTGAGAACATCTTTTACGTCCGGAATCTGACTGCTGCACTCTGGCAGACAGAAAAATGTTCTGTTGAATAATATTGGTATGTGACAACAATAAGTGTTTGAATTTTTGGTAAATTCAGTTTGGCATTTGGGGAATGTGATGAGCCACAAATGCTGAGTTTGTACATTTTGATCTTTGCTGATCGAGTTTTACAGACTTGTATCCTGTACATGTCCAACATCATAACTATATGGGCACCTGCACTAATATTAAAATGTTACTAACCATTACCTTAGTTTCTTCACAATGAAGTACACTGTATTTTCCCGGCCCCTTTTTTAAAAAAAAAATCTGCAAGTAAATATTAAGAAATGCAACTGTTAATTCTCAAATGTGATAAAAGTGTGCCTTGATGCTATTTGGTTGGAGATGGTATTAATGGGAGGGGCATTCTTAGAAAGCATTTGATTGGACAATAGTTCAGGATGATTCATCATTAGTTTTGACGATTTGATCAATATTAGAATATCATATTAATAAAAGCCGAATGACTTATGTTGCTAAACGGCATGCAATTCATTTGAAAATATATAGTATAAAAATGCTGTATTACTGTTACGTTAGCCACTTGTCTCTGAGGCATGGTAAACATAATACTTGCGTTAAAACAAGAGTGTCACACAGTTAAAAGTTCAGGGAAGGAGGTGCTGGGAACCAGAAAATTCAATAAAAAAAAAAAAAACATAAATAAAATAAACACCAAAACAAAAGTAAAGCAGCAGCCCCCTCACGGGAGACTGCACCATAAAAACATAAATCAAAAACATAAAGTCCAGGCCTGGTTCTTTGTTGTTTCCATGCTTTCTATGGAAAGAAAACCAGAAATCAAGGGTAATGCGGATATGATGTCATTGACAGGCGACTCAATGACATGGGCCGGTTACATTGGTTAATATAGATGATTCTCTATTTAAACATTATTGGAAACATTTGGGATAATGTAAATTCATAACTGAACAAAATATAAAATTATTCAGCTAAACTTTATTTTAAGGTGTCTATTGTAATTATACAAGTACTGAGTAATAAAAATGTACTACATGAACTTACTATAAGCGTTATGCATGCAACTATGGATAATTCCGTTATTACAGTAACTACACGCAACATGTTGCCCATTGTTCTGTTTCGTGTGTGTGGATATTTTAAACTGAAAATCTTACATATTGTGCCTTTAATTTAACTTTCACTGGAAAGTTTTCCTTGACATGACACACAATCGGGGCACGTACGTTTCTGAACGTGATGAATGACGGGACGCGCTTAGCCTGACAAACCGCAAACCGAAGCTGTATTAGAGATGGTGTGGAATTAGTGTGTTGTGCATACAGCACTTTGGCATTTTTCAGACCTAGGGCACACTTACTTCCCGTCATGTGGACATGCTCTCGAGTAGCCAAGACCCCTAGTGTGGCTGTTTGGACAGGCCCCATGTGTTGTGTATAATTTGTCACCATTACGGAGTGCACTAGCACATAGACGGCCTCAAAGTGAACGCATATTGTCTAAAAACAGTCATAGAGCATGTTAGATTAGATCTGCAAGGCCACAGAACCAGGAAAACACAACATGGATGGAATGTAAAGAATAGTGGAAAAGACTAAACAGAGACACTGATAATAAATCAACACACAGAAACACGTTTATCAGGCCTTCTTTATGAAATGAGAAGAAAGTACAATGTTATTTTTAACGCTGTAAACATTCAAATTCATAGAAGAAAAATACAATGCTAAACAGATGAACAATGAATATAAACAGAAAGACAGACAGCTGAGCGACACAGTCCGTTTGTCACCCGGTCTTTATATGTCATCAACTACAGAGGCACTTCAAGGCCTCAGATGGTAACAAAACAGAGCGAGAAACGCGTGCGCACAAAGAAAATTATTACCCCCCCCCCCCCACCCCCGCCTTCGTTATCTATCAGAGCGACCCTCGCATGCTATCCGCGAGTGTGCTGCTATACTCTAGCCTTTCATTGTCTGCTGCTGCGGCAAAAAAAATAAAAAATAACACAGAAATGTAAACTTTCAAAGGAATGGAAGGTTAAAAAAATCGCATTAAATTCTTCCAATGTTTCGTAATACTGGGAATGTTCCTCCGCCCAACACGACGAGGTTTCATCAAACTCAAAACCCTCTTCTCGAGAATCGGCTCCTCAAGTAACAGTTAAAACGCATATCAACAAGGTTAAAAATAGGACTAAAAATGATCCAAAAAACTACAACTATGGCAAAACACATAAACCCTGTTCAAACATTCACACTTCCTTGAAGACATGTAACACACACACACACACACACACCTGGGCTAAAGAGTGTGCTTATTGCATTTCGTTACCCCGGCGACTGGCTCAAACATTACCGGAAGTCTCCATCCCAAAGAAACGATGATCAACAGCATGTATTTTGCGGCATTGGTACTCAACAGAACTAAGCTTGCGAGCTGTGGATGGTCGAAATGTCAATCATTTCAACTAGCGAACAACTGAAATCCCTATAGCTTAAAACGTAGCTACCATTCGAATAAGAAACATTGTTACTCGACTGAAATGCAGCACCTTGGCATATTTCATCAGTGACATCCTCTAACACAAGGACATTTTATACAGTATCATAGCTAGTGGCTGCATAATTCAACAAATGATTGCAGCACGTTCATCTTCATTTGGATAATTAGCACAATTGTCATGCGTTTTGTTCAATGTCACTGGAGAATGCAGAAGTCTTTATTTCAAAGGCTATGCTCCTGAGGTAATCTTGAAATCTAATTCGGTTGTTTGCTACATTTGCTACAGTTCGAAATAACACACACATCGGTTTTACATTCAACTTTGTCATGTAATAAATACATTGGGGGGAAAATATCAACAGCCAGCTGGAGGCAAGCCTTATGTCCCGGAGGCGGAGCTGTTGGCCAGCCAGGGGTTTTGATTGGTTGTGCAGGAGTACAGTACTGCCTTAAAGAGCAGTGGCAGCTGCTCCAGAGGAACGCCCATCATCTTACCTGGAACCAATTATTACATCATTAGCAGAGCAACGTTTTGATTGGCTATCGGTTGCACGCGTATTCACGATGCACCCGAATTTTCATTGTGAAATATTAAAAGGAAATCAATGTATTACAGTGCTGGGTTGATTACATACAAATTGTAGTCCGTTACAGATTGCATGATGATTACTTTTGACCAATCACATTTAAAATATTGATTTGAATAGGACAATCTTATGCCTGGTTCAGATTACACGATTTTAGCCCGATTTTGGCACGCTCCGTTTGACGTAGGGTGTCGTGGGGATTCGTAAACGACAACGGGCGTCGGGAGGCAAGATTCGATCGTATCATCTCGTATAGTGTGTCAGAGTGGGCGACAACCAACGTCGCGTCTGCGATGCTTCGAGACATCACGACAAAAAGACTAGCATGTTTAATTTTTTTATTTTTTTTAAGTACAGAAGCTTTTCCGTACTCAACTTTCAAAAATGGCGAAACGAAAGAGAGACGATGGTGCTAACGTTAAAACTAAAAGTAAAAATATATAAGAAAACAATATTTTACCTCAAATTCTCTTTGAAGGATTGACAGCCCATACTGTCCTCTTCAAGCAATCCAGGAACGTGTCCATTGTCAGGTTTTCTTTCTTTTTTTACTTTTTTCTGATACAACACTCATCGCTACTAGTTTCGCCTTCTCGATGACATCGCGCGGGCCGTTAAAGATGCCATGCGATGACTGGTCAGAAAGCAACGTGTAGTCTGACATGTGTCTTGTCCACGACACAACAAGATTTTAGGAGTCAAAAATCACGTAATCTGACACAGTGACTATCGTAACAGACAAAAAAAATCGTGTAATCTGAACCAGGCATTATTAATAACATATTGATGTAAAATGACATATTGCACAGTATGAAGGGCATTAAACATAACGGATGTTTTTAATGTTTTTGAATGAACTCTCTGATGCTCACTGCATTCATTTGATCAATATTTCTGGTTGATTTCATTATAAGATATAATATATTGCTGTGATACAAAGCTGAATTTTCAGCATCATTACTCCAGTCTTCAGTGTCACATGATCCTTCAGAAATCATTCTAATATGCTAATTTGCTGTGCAAGAAACCCTTTTTTTATTATCATCAATGTTGAAAAAAGTTGTGCTGCTTGACTTTTTTGTAGAAACAAAAACGTTTTTTTTGTTTTTTAACATTATAAATGTCTTAAATTGATCAAAAATTGCAGTTTGCTTTATAAAAATGTATTAATACTGACACCAAACTTTTTAACGGTAGTGTAATTGAAGAAAAAAAAAAATCATCTTTTCGTGTTCTTGCTCTCATCTGTAATTTCTCTCCAAACGAACACATATACACACCTGAGGTATGGCGTATCTCAGAAAGGCAGGTGATGATGTCAGAGAAGCGTTTGGGCCGGTGAGGGTGGAGATGTTCAGTAAGGTCGCGACACACAGACCAGTAACGTTCACTTAACTGTTCCAGCATGGGTGTGTTGGACAAACCTGCCACATCTACAACACACACACACACACACACACACACACACACACACACACTCAAATTACACACATCTGCTCTGTCGTAAAATAGATCTCAGTGTGTATCAGGGTTAGTGTATGTGTGTTATCTGTGTGTATGTGTGTGTTACCGTGATTGAGGAGGGTGACTGTCTTCAAGCAGCTGAACTCCTCATTGCTGATGTTTAGTTGATGAAACTTACGAAAGAGAAAATTTAAGCTTTCCATCACCTCCATAGCATCCTCACCAAACCTGTACTCACACATGCATACATTCATTAATATCATTTTTTTGTACATATAATTCACATTAAAGATCAAATTAACTCTTATATATAACACTTTACAGTAAGGTTTTGTGTGTTAAATACATTAGATAACATGAACTAACAATGAACAATACTTCTACAGGATTTATTCAACTTGTTAACTCACTCAACATAAGTTAATGCTAATTTCAACATTTAATAATACATAATTAAAATCTTTTTTTATTATCACAAAATGAAAAAAAAATTGCTAAATAAAAAAAAGATGAATGAATGCTTTAAAATACATACACACACACACACACTGTATATTGCTCATTGTCAGTTCATATTATGTCATGATTTAATGTTTACAAATGCGACCTTATTGTAAGTATTACCAAAATATTTTATGTTAAAGTCAGTATGAAATCAAAATGGATTTATAAAGTATTTTTAGTACAAATGATTTATCACATCATTGTTTGTTTGAAATTCATGTGCACTAATATAGAATCAAAATAACTTCCCCTCCCTCTTGTAACAGCATCTCTTCTTTAGCGTGAGGGCGTGGCAACCGGTCACCAATAGCAAAACACAACCATCCAATCAATTCCCCATGGAAAATCAATTCGCTCCCTACATTTATTCTTGTTCAAGAGGCCGTTTCACTCGGTTATATGGCACAAAAAGGAAAGAATAGAATATCATGGAAACTTTGATGGCCATACACCTATAGCTCACCTCTGTAATGTCAGGCCGGATGGTGTGTACTGGTGTGTGATGTTGGCCAGTTCTCCCAGTATCTGTCCGCTGTGCACCGTGAGCAAGGAGAGCAGGACGAGCTGATGCCAGGACGCCCCCAGTAAACGAGTGCAGTCTTTGATGGACAGATCACTGTAGAACGGTAAGCGCTTCAGCCAGACGATGTGTCTGAATAACAGCTCATCAGCTATACGACACAGCAGAGCCAACAGCTCCGACTGAGTCACGATATACCTGAACAAAGGACAAACACAGACACCTGGAATTAAACAAGCTGGGTCTTTCAGCATCTTTAAGACTTTTATATGTAAATGAAAATCCTTTTCCATATAGGATAATATATACATATAGGAGGATAACACAGTATTTATATAGCAATGGAACAATGGTATTGAGCTATTTTTTTTTTATTATATGCACAAATAAGGTATACATACATTTTAAATTATGTTTTTGAAAGACGTCTGTTGTGCTCACCAAGGCTGTTTTTATTTCAAAAACGGTACAATTGTGAAATATTATTACAATTTAAACCAAATGTTTTAAAATGTAATTTACTCAAGTGATCAGAGCTGATGTGAGCATCATTACTCCAGTTTTCAGTGTCACATGATTCATCAGAAATCATTCTAATAAGCTGCTCAATCTTATTATTAATAATTATTAGTTGTTTTGCTTAATATTTTTGTGGAAACTGTGTTTTTTCTGGATTCTTTAATAAAAAGTTCAAAAGAACAGCATTTATTTGAAATGGAAATATTTTATAATAACTTTAATTCATTTTTAATAAAAGTATTGATTTCTCACAACAACACAAATCTTAGGGTGCAAAAGATTTCCAAATATAAAATGTCCCTCAGGAGCTTCTGGAAATATTTTGATACAAAATATGATGATACAAGCAACAATCTGTGTTTTGAACAATTAATTGAAACATCGAACCCTTAATAGCAAGTAACATAAAATATACCACTGAAAAAAGAAAAAGATAAATAAATAAATAATTAGATATATATATATATATATATATATATATATATATATATATATATATAATTTTTTTTTCAGTGGTATATTTTATGTTACTTGCTATTAAGGGTTCAATGTTTTAATTAATTGTTCAAATATATATACATATATAATATATATATATACAGTATATAACACATTAGACAATCAAAATGGCTCCAAAGATCAACATTTTTATTTGTGGTTTGTATCACCATTTAAAAAAAAAATCTAAAAATATATCAACATTCAGCTCAAGGTCAGCTGCCTTTTGACAACATGCTGCTTGTAACATTTAGATAAAGATGGTGTCAGACCAGATCAAGACCATTAGACACGACTACTGACACAGACATTTGAAAACCTAATGGCCAAGTAAGAGAGATAATCCAACCAAATCCAGTTCAAAAGTTGTGTTTGATATGTAATGCTGTGAGAGTCTTACCCCTTCTCTATGACCATGGGTGTAGTGAGAGGTGTGAGGTCTTCCGCATTGAGTAGCTGTGTTGAGAATGTGTGTGATTGCGTCTTCAGGCTGCTGCCAGTAGGGGGCGGCAAAGGATATTTACACAACAGGAAAGAGTGTGTGAGTTGAGGACTGCTGCACTGATCCCTACAGGACACAGAGTACGTGCTCATATCCACAGAACGGCTGCAGAGAGAGAACGACAAACAAGGTTATGTGTGTCTTATACGCCCAAGCAATCTTAGTTTACAAATGTAAATTACATAATTTGATAAAAACGGCAAAAGTCAACATAAAACAACATAAAACAACATTTGTAACACTGCTACTTTAGTACCATTGATTTACATTTACATTTTTAGAATTTCTGTTTTTTTTTATTAACTCCAGTTAGTTTTAGTATTCTTTTTAAATGTCTTTAGTTTAGTTTATTTATTTTAGAACTTCAACTTTAAAACAAAAATAGGAAAAATTATTTTACCGTTAACCTTTATTTTATTTGAATGGTTTTAGTAAGCAATAACCTGATTTTCAACCTATTTCAATATTTTATGTCACATATTTAACCCCTAATTGCATATACATATAGGGACACCATTCACTACCCTCCTCCTTATGATTTTTTTTTTTAAAGTTAGACATCAACCTTCTTAGTACTCCTCAATCAATCAATTGTAAACAATAAGACAAGAAAAAAAAATACAATTATAAAAGATTTTTCTCCATTCATTTTTAGAATTAATTGTATAGGGTCACTAATGACCCCAGGTGTGTAACAGTGTAAGTATATTGTTCCAGCACCACAATAATTTAATCTTTGATGACTGAATAAGTGCAATTCACTCCAAACTCCAAACTTTTCTTCCTCCTTCACTTGGTCCTCCATTAGTGAAACAAGGGGGGAGACGAAAACAACTATCGGCTTTGCATCCCTATCGTTCGCCTAAGCTAACTCATTCACCACTAGCAGAGTGAGCTGGATAATCAAACTTTTCCCAAACCCCGTGGGGAGGAGGGCCACAACATCATGGTCACCAACAAAACTTAGCAAACATTGTTCTTGCTCCTGCTTTAAATTCTGTATATTCGACAGTTTTCCAACAACGGACTGAATAGCTTTTCTCACGTCTTTCTGAACTCAATCTGACGCGCTACATCAACGTCATCGTTTTCAGCCACTCCCTCTATTCGCTGATTGGTCCTACACAAAAATTGATTTCTGGAAAGCTAAGAACATACAGCAGTCCCAGACCTAGTACTGAAAGAAAATGAAATTGAGCAGCCAGGCTAGGCAATGTCTGCAATGATGAAGTGACGTTTCACTCATAGTTACAGCAGGCAGAAAACAAAAGAAGAAGATACATCAGTAAAACTTGAATTAGCTCAGCAATTCACTGTAGAGAAAGTACTGAACGCAATCAAACAGTGTCACTGTTTGAAATATTTCTGCATTTACGGGTTAAAAGAGTGAAAAAAAGAGTACATATTAAAAAAAAACTAGCGAGGAAATTGATTTTATCCATCGGAAAGGATAATTAATTAATTAGATGGTGAAAAGTGTCTATTTATGAAAAACAAGAGGGCTGGATGATGTCAGCAGAAAAGAAAACATGTTTCAGAGGTGGAGCGAATAGCACATTTTTTTGAAACAGACATTTTTCTCTTTGGAATCGCAACCGAAAGGAATGAATGAATAAAAAATTTGAGCGTTTCTTAATCTTGTTTTGATTTTCTGCTCGTGTTGGTTCGTTCCACGACAGAAACACCTCAATTCAATTAGATCAAAGCCATTTGTCCCCGCGCATAAAAAGGGCAGACTCAGGTCAGCGCGTCCGTGTGTAAATGCATTAGAACATCTCATTCGGGTCACACCTGGTTGACAGCGTGGAGAAAGATAAGGTCTGAGCGCCCTCGGAGATACTGTTGCCAGGTGAACTGTGGTTACTGTAGCCGTGGCTCCACGCATCTGATAGTTCGGCTCCTTCTTTAAACTCCTGGCCAGACATGATTCGTTCGATCTCCTCCAGCGAGATCTACAAAGAGAGAAATGGAGAAAATCAGAGATGAATGCACGCCATCGACTCCACAAACAGAACGTCGCTACGGGATAAAAGATGGAGATCGGTCAATACGAAGACATATATCGAGAAATCCTCACATGCTCATTATTTATATTTATCTCTTTTATACAGATTTTATTTTGTTCTGTTTAAATCCGTCAATAATAGACTAAATCAATAGCGAATGGGGTGTAACTCGTCCCTAAACAAACTCTTGCTTATCTTTTGTCCATCCTGAATGTCATCTTCCGTGGACTGAAAGCGATGGATCTGTCAATTGTATAACAGAATGAGATGGAAACTAATGAATGAAAATGAGGCAGAGTCAGCAGCAATGCTAATAAACAAACACTTGATAACAAGGACACCCAAGACACAAACTCTGCACATTCCCATTCTCTATAGATCTATATGATGTGTACCTACTCATACTTAAGGAAAAGAGAGGGAAGGAGAGGGTTTTTGTGTGTCACATTTAATCCCTGTGTGTGGCCTTCAGAATCAAAAGCACTTCAGGTTTAATTTGGCAAGAATGCTCCTAGGTTATGTGGAGAAGAATGGACGATCCAATTTATATGTGCGTGTATATATATATATATATATATATATTAGGGCTGTCAAACGATTAATCGTGATTAATCGCATCCAAAATAAAAGTTTGTGTTTACATAATATATGTGGGGGCACTGTGTATAATTATTTTATATATCTAAATACACAAACATGCTTGTATATATTTAAGAAATATTTTCATGTATATACTGTATATAGATTTATATATAATTTATATTATATAGAAATATAAATATTTTATACATAAATAATATTTCTTTCTTAAATATACATGCATGTGTGTGTGTGTGTATTTATATATATATAAAAAATTATACACAGTGCACCCACATATATTTTGTAAACAAATTTTTTTATTTTGGATGCGATTAATTATGATTAATCGTTTGACAGCCCTAATATATATATATATATATATATATATATATAAACCTTTTTTAAGTCTTATGCTGCATGTATTTGATCAAAAATACAGTAAAAAAATGATATTGTGAAATACTATTCCAATTTAAAATAACTGTCTTCTATTTCATCGCTTCCCAACAAGGGGGTTGCGGCCCACAAGGGGGCCTCAGCGAGCTCTGTGTGGGGTTTGAGCAATGAGCATTAATTGAAATTCCTTAACTTTTTTTCTGTTCAAAATTTACAAAATGTATATAACGAACGAGTTCATCATGAATCCATTTTCCAATCAATGTTTGTCTTATCCTGAACCACTATGGTACACCTATAATAAGCGTTTATATTGGGACTATTTTACACTGGTTCAGATCACTGCCGCTGTGGAGTAGCCCAGTACCTGCGTGACTCGTCATAGATTTACACAGAGAGAAGTAGTTCCGGCTACATTGTTTTTCTGAAAGAAGCATTGTTCTGTTAATAAATGCTAAATGTGATCAACAGTTGTGCTGATTAATATTTTTGTGGACTTTTCATGATTCTTGAATAGAGAGTTGAATAGAATGAATCGAAAGTTAAAAAGAAAGAAAGAAAGAAAGAGTAAATTTTGCTAAATATATATATATATATATATATATATATATAAATATTTATATGCAAGTACATATTGTAATTTTGACAGCCCTATATATCCAAAAGAGAGGTTTTGTCAGATTTAGCTCACTTCTTGGGACAAATAGCTATAGCCATGTAGAAACGCACACAACTGTACACAACTGTCTTACCTGTACAGGTCCGATCATTTTATTCCTCCCTCCTGGCATCCCATCCTCTCTGATTGCTGAAAGTGAGATAAAAAGATCTGTAAGGAATTGCATACTAGCATTTTACAAATACTATTTCTGCAATATTCAACATACTGTGCATAGATGATTATTTAATAATATTTACCAAAATGTGCAGAGCCCCAAAAAATATTAAATCCCACAAATCAGTGCATTTTTTGCATTTTACAACTTCTGACTCATTACTCGATGGGACTTGCATGACACTTTTGCACAAAACTGAAAAAATTAACCACTTTGATATGCAAGTAATGAATGCATTACACAGTGACCGTATATACTGTGTAGTATGCAGTAAGCAAGTCACTAGTATTGCAGATCAAACATTGCACGGGGGAAGTTGGTGGTTAGTACAGCAACACAGACCAACAGCTCCCTCTGATGCACACCACAGGCAAGTACACTCAACAGTGTAGAAATGGTAAATGATTTATATTTATATGTGTGAGAGAGTTTAGCCCCAGGTATCAGAGATGGACAGCATGATCTGGATCAAGAAAATTGTTATCAGCGCCATCTGAGCAACTCATGATTATACATGCAGCGGCGCAACCCAGATCTACAATCTGATTTATGCACGCTTTTTTTCCTTCAGGCATGGCCAATCAAACCCTGATCTATATCACCTAATTTACATAGTGGAAAGATCAGATATTTGCCTCTAATGAAGCAGCATCAAAGAACAGATGAGAGGGACAGAGTTAAGAGGTAAATAAACCTTGAACATTTTGTTTTTGTGTTTATACAAAAGAGGTGTTGCATAAATAGGGTGAAATTGTAATTCTGAGTGGATACGAGTAAAAAAGGAGTGAGGGGAGAAAAATAGCATGGAAAAATAAGAAAATAACAGGGGCAAAGAAAAAGATTAAAGGATGTTTAATAGAAAGGAAGTTTTAAAGATATGAAATATTATATTATTCATAGTATCAAAGAATTCAACTAAAAATTATTCATGGTTATTTTTCCTTTGATTTGGATGATAAAGTACATTTATTTTAGATTCTGTGTTTTATTGTTTTTATTTGAATGAACTATTAATCATTAACTAAAATAAGCAGACAATGAGTAATACATTTGTTACAGTTGTTATTCATGTTTGTTAATAAAAACACAGCTGTTTATTGTTAACAAAGGTCCATTAAACCATATTAACAGATACAACTTTTTAATTTAATAATGTATTAGTAAATGTTGAAAATAACGAAGATAAATAAAAGCTTTATAATTATTATTAATTATTGTTAGTTCATGTTAACTAATGTAGTGAAATGGAATCATATTGTGTTACTTTTTATTTTGATTTTGATAATGAACTTTTTTGTTTTAATGTATATTTAAATAGTAATAACCTGGATTTAAACAAGTTTCTCACTGCATTTCTTAAGCACATGTTGGATTTAATCTGCTGTTTTAAATCATCATCATCTTATGTGTGTGTATGTGTTTGCTCACCCTTGCGGTTCATTCCCATCTGAAGGCATTTCTGCAGTCTGCAATACTGACAGCGGTTACGTTGCTTGCGGGACATCTGGCAGTTCTTGTCCCTGTTGCAGCGGTAGATTCGCTTGTTGCAAATACTGCGTTTGAAGAAGCCCTTACACCCCTCACAGGAAATGATTCCATAGTGCAGTCCAGACGCCCGGTCACCGCAGATCAGACACCAGCGCTCACCCCCGTCCTCTACAAGGAAAGAAATGTCATTAAATTATATGCAAATTAATGCAAGAGGCCTAATTTTATCATTTTAAATGTCCCCTATATTTTTGATTTGAAGATTTTTAGTATCAGCTTTGTATAAAAACAATAAAAGTGTATGATATGTCCTATTTTTTTTTTTTTTGCTATATTTATCGGGACAAGATGTGTAGGACATCACAAACAATCTACCAAATAATAGCTTAATTCAAATCTAAAAATGTCAAAATAAAATGATAAATACATTAATAGTAAGATAAAATCTAAAAAAAAGTTTATTTAAAATGTTTATTTAATATATATATATATATATATATATATATATATATATATATACATAAATAAACACACACATTTTTAGATTTTTTTTATTTCATTTAATTTGAATAATGTAGTAACAACATGAACTAATGTAATTTATTACTTTAATGTATTTTATTATATATATATATATATATATATATATATATATATATATATAATTAAAATGTTAAAACATATTCTTTGTTGTTTTAATATATAACTGAAATAAAATAAATATTTTTTTATTTTATTATAAATCGTTTTTTTATTAAAAATAATAAATTTGACATGACAAATGTCAAAAATACAGAATTTATTTTTATATATAATTAATTAAGGTGAAATTAATGAAAATTTATATAAATGAATATACTTCATATCAAATAAATGTCTTGGTCTCATTTACATCAGCATTTGCCATTTAAGATTTAATATTGGTTGAGCACCAGTCAATGGGATATGAATATGTGCAAATATGAAAAAAATAAAAAATAAATAAAAAATAAAAATAAAAATACATAAGTCTAACATATGTCTCTGAGACATCTGATAGTAGGTTAATCTGAGTTTATTGAAATCATTGTAATCTTACAAAAAGTTCTAAAAGTGTATATCTAAATCTCAGAGCAAAGGATTACACAAACACATCGCCCGGCCGGCACATACGCGTATGCCAGGAATCTTCTACAGTCTCACTGTGTGTTTCAAATGACTTACGGCATCATGCGGCGTGACCCAGATTTTACAACAAACCAAAGAGATGGAGAGCCGGCAGGAAGGGGGATGGGAAACATCGAAAGAAAGACAACTGAATGCAACAGTCCATGCAATCTAGATTTATCAGACGATAAATACAGCTGGACTGATACTAAAACAAAATAATATGTAAAATTCCATGCAGAGAACACATTGCAAGGACTATTCAAATGAATCTGTGAAAAACTGATTCACAGAAAAGAATCAGCTAAACAGAAGTGCCGGTGAACTGTAGAGGGAGCAGGTGAGCGTGCGGGTCACGGAGAGGTCTTCTAAAAGCCTGAACGTCGTAAACGCTAAGGAAAGCACTCAACCTAACCCTGAACTCTAGAGCCATTTTACAACCCTCAGGAAGGTTGTGTGTTGTAAGGGCACAGTATTGTTGAGGATTGGGTCAAACACAGGTCAAACTTTATAGCAAACGCGAACTATGGGACACACATTTTTAAAATCGACACATCCACTCACTCTAATGCGCCCAATGTCAAAGTAAAAGATAAAAAAAAAATACCCTCAGGCATAATCTTCATGTAATAAATCCCATCACATTCTTACAGGGACAGAATAAGAAAGAAATCTCAGGTCTGTTCAGACCCTGACAGAGCTTTTTTATGTTATTTTAGCAATTGTGTGCAGTTGGATCTGATTTTGCAGGTCACTGTGATTTCGCCAAGTAGATGTTCCTAGATCAACATATTTGGTTGACCCAGGAAAAACATTTCTGTCTGAAAATTTTGTCCCAACCATATTCATACCCCTAAACTTATCCTAATTAAAAGGGACTAATTAAAGGGATATTCACCTCTGGAAAGATGAATGTGTATTTCAAATGGGTCATTTGCAAAAGAAATGTGAAATACATTTTGAATTTGAAGCTTTCTAGACTGAGAAAAGCCAGAAAAAGATTTTTTGGCTTATGTGATGAAAGACAACAACTCCCAGAATGCACTTGCTGCCAGGCAAGTCATGCCACTCGGCCGCCATCTTGGCAACGCCTCCGGGCAGCTATTTCGGACTTAAAAACTGCATGCCGGGACATAAAAACTGCATGTACAAACACAGAAGTAAAATATAATAAAAATCGCTGAAAAAGTTTGATGACTTTGCCCCAAAACAAGGTTTAAAACGCCGTTTTTCCCACAGGTTATACTTTTACTACGCATGCGCAAGGGTTCTCTCGCTCTCTGTCGCGCGCACGCTGCACAGTTTGAAACACAGTATATGCGCGCTCTTGCTCGCTCGCGGAGATTTTAACTAATTTGCGGGCATCAGCGAGCCGCTATCAATCTGCGGGAGACACCCGGAACTTCTGGGAGACTTGGGATGTCTGATATTTACACAACTCACATACACTGCATATCTGCCGCCTTTTCAAACAGTAACGTATTGTACGCTGCCGCAAACATCAACTGTGCGCATGCGTCGGTGGAACCAGACGATAGGCTTATGCTGCGTTCAAGTCATCTCGAATAGATCGTAATTACGAGTTGAACGCACTCGAACGCCACCACAATGTCGTAATTGGGGAGCTCGGGATTTTCTTTAAGCTCCGATCTGTACGAGTCGGGAGCATGTCAGTGAGAAACATGGCGGAATCAATGGATGCAACGTCTGTTGGCGGTAAATTTTAATTGAATTTCAATGTTTACTCATCGACATTGTAAGGCTTTTTTATTTATAAAGCAAGCTCTCTACACAAAATATGATATCATTGTAATATAAAAATTATACCTAATATATAATGATAGAGTTTACAATGGTTTCATAAGCTAATAAAAAAAAACATAGAAAGAAAAACACGAACTTCCCATGAGGACTTGAACGCAGCAATAAATGTTTCCCGGCTTGACTGTTAAAAGCAGACGATTGGCTGTCCAAAGTGGGAGGGGCCACCATCTTTGGTGTTACGGGTTTTCCCTATACATTTCTATTAAGGATTGAGGAAGTGGCATGTCTCTATATAAATAGTCTCTGCCTACAAGGCGCCTACCGGTAATGGGGCGCAGTAGTTAAACAACAAGTCTAGGCTAGTAGTAACCCTCAGTGATGAGTCTTCCTGGGATTTTGAGATTAATTCAGTTAGATTGCAACAAAAGGTGTGTATGTAAACAATGAATGGCGACTGCAGAAAGCAAAAGCTGAATCAAGGACATTGACGGCCGGACAAGTTCGGGAAAAAGAGGATGGTAACCCCTACTACTCAGCTTTCTCCACAGAACAAGAGCCTGCTAGCTTAGCTTCCAAAAAAAAAAAAAAAAGATGGCTGACACTATGTGTTCATTCTGTGAGTGAGATCCACCATCTATGGATGGGCCACCATCTATATTTTGACCATACGTCAATATCCGCCTTTTTAGGGCCCCCTTAAACGTCGGTAGATGGCGATCCCGGGCCGTCATACAACTGACGCTTTATCTTTAACGTCAGTTAGGTGACGGGTTAGGTTTAGGGTTAAGTTTAGGTATGGGGTAGAGTTAGGATCCCATAACCTCATCTACCGACGTTTAAGGGGGCCCTAAAAAGTCGGATATTGACGTATGGTCAAAATACGTCCCAAAACGTCAGTTATATGACGATTTGGGATGAGACCGGGTTGGATGGGTTGAGAAAATGCAGGACAGCCCCTACTACTGACTGTAGTTTTTAGCCTAAAAAAAATACATAAATCTCTCGTTTCGGGGGGATATGAGGGTGGAAAGCACAGTAATTTGAAAATACTACAGGTTTCCTACAAATACAAAATTAATGCTAAATCCTGAAGTATCCCTAAGTATTTGTGATTTAAGTTTTTATTAGCTCAACAAGGAAAAAAAACAACTTCAGTAACCTGGATTAGCCCAGGTTATCAGTTTTTACCGGGGAATAACATACCGCTGGATGGCGCAATTGACCAATCAGTATCAAGCATTCCACAGGGCCGTGTAATAATTATTTATTGTGAACTTTTATCTTTGAAACATTGCAGATCTTTAATATTCACAAACAGCTACAGTATATTATACACTACATTAAAATATAATATCTGAAAAACATAATAAGGGTTCTGCATACTGTTTAGTTTCACATTCCATTTAAAAACATAGTAAGTAGTACACAGTGCATCCTACATACAGTATTCAGTAAGCTAGTACTCTAATCTGAACAAGCCTTTGATTGTGATGATCAGAAGGAACATACATTTCACAGTCAGCGTGTGATGATGATGTTGGCTCATATAGTTCACTTCACAGCACCAGAGGAAACAGCAGGAGCAACAAATCCCTTGATTTCCCTACATCCCCGTGTCATTCTCACTCCATCTCTCTCTATCCCCCGTTCATGCCGTTCTAGATCTGTCAGTGTGTATTACTGCCACCTACATTCAGAAGCAATGGAAATCAGAAGCTTCTGTGTCTTGCCATCTCGGTCCTAACACTTTAGCTCATTTATATCAATCACACATAGCAAAACAATGAAAATACGAAAGTAATGGCCTTAGAGTAACTTGTTCAAATAAAATGGGCTTCGCCAAAAATATAATGTCCAATTAAATTATATATATATATATATATATATATATATATATATATATATATATATAATTATATATTATATATATATATTAAGAAAGTGAAAGTTGTTGGTGATAATACAAAATTAAAGAAATAAAAGGACACTTATTTAATTACACACACACACACACACACACACACATACATACATATATATATATATATATATATATATACATACACACACACACACACACACACACTGATAAATACTGATATACAGTAACTTCAAAATAAAGTTTTTACTTTCATTGTTTTAATAATCGTGTCAAGCTTTTGAAAAATACGAACATAATGGCTAACATAAAGCACATGTAAAATACTTGATATTCATTTTAACTGTAATTTGATATTACTGTACATTTGAAGTTCATT